TACCTGTGATAGTTCACAACTCTTATGTTCATAAGTTGGGAACTTAAGTAAATCCAGTCCAGAAGAATTGAACCGGACCCTGCGAGCATCAGTGCCTCATGTTCTCGTCCCGAGGACCCTCCATGTCACGTGCATTTACTAAGTGTGGCATGACTCGGGAGGCTCTGTGTGGGGAGTGGCATGGCCCCTCTGGCCTTGCAGATGGCTCTGCAGGCCCTGTGTCCCTCAGTCCTTCCGCTGGAGGTAATGGTATCGATGGTCCTCAGCAGGGGAGGAGTCGATCTAGCGGTGGCGGGAGCACTTACTCCCCCGCCTTCTTCAGGAGGGGCCGGTGTGAGAGTCTGGTCTCTGTGTTCACACATTCCACAGTGTGGCTGCAGACCTCAGAACCCAGCTTAGTCGCACCAGGATTCCCCTGCATCCTGTATGGGAAACAGTCCACACTGCCTCACCTCTCCTCCAGGATATGTGTATGTGCTGTGGAGTTTGAAGGAGTTCCTAGGTAATCTGTGAGTTCAGCTTTGGTTTTGGTTTTTTGGAGACAGGTCTTGCTGTGTAGTCCAGGCTGGCATTGAACTTACTGTGTTCCCAGGCTGGCCTGGAACTCCCAGCGATCCTTCTGCCTCAGCCTCCTGAGTGCTGAGATAACAAGTGTGTGCTCCTATGCCCACTTCTCAACTGTGTCACTTGTCTTGTTATTTTAGGGTATTTTCCAACTTGAAAATAGTCGTTTTTACCTCATTCTTGTCCCCTGATCTGAGCTGTGACCACTGAAGTTTTATTCGATATTTGCCGGGCTCAGAGATTCAGAGGCTGGAGGTGTGAAGTGCAGACTACATCATCGCTTCAGTAACATGGGACGCACCTGCCTGAGTAGGTGTTCAGAGAAGCCAGCAAGGCAGTCTAGGGTCTGTGCTGAGCTGAATGCCATTTCTTGGCCAGAAAGGCCAGGCGCATGGGAACTTCCTTTCCTCCTTAGCCAGCCCCTGCAGGATTGGCGAGCATGCCTAGAGGCTCAGCGTTTGTGGAGGCAGCTTGCTGGTGTGGGCCTAGCATGAAAAAACCTGAAATTCCAGGCTAGAGTTTAGAATTCAGATCTCCTGTTTGCTCTGGGCTTAATTCTGTTTGTAGGGTCAGACTGAGCACACCAGCACCTGCACATCCTTGATGCTGTGTCTGCACCAAGCAACATGAAGTTTGGTGGTGTGACAAGTAGTTAAGCCAGCTCTGACTCCTGATAGCGTCTCTTAACTGTGCTTTGAGGCTTCCTTTCCTCTCCCTTTGTTTGTTTCAGTACTGGGGATTGAACCCATGACCTTAGCACAGAGCTATATCCCCAGCCCCTCCTCCCTTTTTTTTTTGGTACTGGGGATTGAACTCAGGATCTTGAGCATGCAGAGCAGGTGGCAGCACCACTGAGCTACATCCCTGTCCCCCCCAGCCCTTTTTAAACATGTTTTGAGACATGCTCTTGAGAATTTGCCTGGGTTGGGCTTCAATTTGAGCTCCTCCTGCCTCAGACTCTCAGAGTGCTCAGATTATAAGCGTGTGCCTCCACAGCCAGCTGCTTTTGTATTTCTGCTAATGATTGGCTTTTCTTCCGTGCTGGCCTGACCAGGTCATTCCTGCTTGGAAAAGCTCTGGTGCTGTGTGTTGCTGTGCATGCTCATAAGGGCATTGGTGAGAATTTGTTTTAACTAGGGATTGATTAAAAGAAGACAAAGAATAACCAGGCACAGTGGTCCGCTCCTGTCATCCAGCACTCTGGGAGGCTGAGGCAAGAGGGTCACAAATTCAATCCCGGGCTGGGCAACTTAATGACTTAGCAAGATGCTGTCTCAACATAAAACATGACAAACCAAAGAGAAGACAGAAATGTAGAAGTGTCCTGTGGCAGTGCATGCTCCCTGTTGTCTTCACGCGTGTTTGGGCCTGATGGATCTGGCTGTGTGCGCACGGGTTTTCATCACTGTTCCTCCCATTTCCAGATTATTTTGTTCTCCTTCAGGTAGGCTGTGACATGCTCAGAACAGACTTTCTCAGAGAGTGAATTCGTCATGCTCCCTTGCAGCAGCATTCCACACTCTTGCAGCTCAGCTCCGCTCACTGCTCTCTCCTGTGTGTACCCCCGGGTGACAGTCAGCTGTCCCCACCCCACCCCACCACATCATCCCCCATCATCCCCCATCATCCCTCATCACTCTTCCACTCTCCAGTGCACCCTGTCTCTGGCCCCTACTCAGAAATTGTTGGTGTGATTCGCGTGGCTCAGCCAGAAAGTAACCTGTTCTTTCTCCTCTTCGATGTTCTCATTGCAGGAGTCTGGTCGGAAGCAATGTTTTTAATGGACTCACATCTCCACCCTGATCAGGACTAAAGGACGGAGGCCGCTCCACTCCCCTTCTTCCTCCACTCCCCTCATCCCTCCTGACACCCAGGGAATCCCTCTGTCCCACAGGTTTGAAGATGGCTTGGCAGCCCTCCTAGCCCCATGCCTCCCATTTGCCAGGGGAAGAACCTAAGACTGTGGCTGGGAGGGTGGCAGACAGGAAGCAGGCTCTGGGCCCGGGCCCTGGTCTTCAGAGAATGGTGCTTTGTCTGAGGAAACGTTTGTTTCTGACTCCAGGAGCAGTGCAGTGGTGAGGTTGGTGGAAAGGCTTCCTTCCCGAGGTAATGGATCCTCTGTGCGGCTCTCAGAGGGTGACGGGTGTGCCAAAATATGCCAGGGCCCTGTCCTTAGCACTAGCTTTGATGGGGCCAAGAGGGCCCAAGCCCTTGCCAATGTACTACTCTGTTAACGCTTCCCCTGACCCCCTGACAAGGGACCAGGAGAACAGACATTATCTGTGATGAGCTCCTTCTGGTCTCGGTTTCCTTGCATCTTGACGGTTTGTGTCCCTCACCCCAGAGGGCTGAACTCCTCCTGCTCCCCACTGCCCAGCGCCTCTGGGCCTGCCTCTGTGCAGAGAGGCCTGTGCGTTGCTTCTGTTGGAGCCCTCTCTTCGTGCTCGGTTGCCCTCGCACTAACCAGCTCTCTGGCATCCCTCTCCCTGGAGCATGTCCATGTAACACATGGCGCCCTTCCCCCAGGAAGGCTGCTTCCTTGTTTTAGAGGAAGTTACTGCCGCTGGGAGACGGCCCTCGGGACCTCAGCAGTGAAGAAGCCTAGCCGAGAACCGGAGGAGTAGGGAGCCTGGCTGGGATCTGGCCAACTTCCCAGGCTTTTCCTTCCTCGGCTGGTGTAAGCCTGGGCTTGCGTCCCCAGGTACATACCTGTACGTATCGTGGGATAACCCAGCACTGCTAGGCAGGTGAAGTCACAGACTTGGCGTCCTTCCCACCTTTGGCTTTTGAGGCACGAGTCTGCTTCCTCTGCCCGAAGGTCTTTCCTGCTTCTGGTAAGGAGTGAGGAAGAAATGGAGCCTGACAAGGCTGAACTTCACCCAGTTGTAAGGACCAGCACTCCGGGGCCATTTCCCACCCAGGCAGATGGAATTGCTTTTCCCCAAACACCCAAATTGTCCTGTGGTTGCTGCTGAAGGAGGCAGCAGCAGCAGGGTCCTGCAGTACCCAGCGTGAGGGCACATGCCACCACCTAGTGAGAGGCCAGATGGGCTGAGGCACAGGGCCATAGAGACCACTCTGGCTCGGGGGAGAGGCTGATTGGACTGCACCCTTCCTTTGTTCCTGGCACGTTTCTGAAACACCCCTCAGTCGCTGGGGGAGGCCCCAGGGTTGGAGAGGCACATTCCCTTGGGACAGGCTGCAGACTGGAGCTCTTATCCCGTCCCCCAACCCTGTGCCCACCTCCACCTCAGACCATGGCACCCTGCCCCCACTGGCCAAGTGTTAAGTGATGTGCTTATCCTTGAGAGCAGCTCCGGGTGTCTTTTTAAAATGTAGAGAAAACCAAGTAAGGTGACAGTCTAAGGAAAACAATATATAGAATATCAGAAAAACCATTTGCCCGGAGAATTATTTTCTCCCCTTTTTGTTTTTACTCGATGACACAATTTTTAGTTTTACTTCCTTATAGCAAAAGGAAAAGAACCCTAACCCTAAAAAGGCTAAGGCCCCGTCCCCACGTTGTCGGTGATTTGTTTGTCTTTCTGATGGGTTGAAAATTGTGTAATAAACTTGATGACACTGTCAATCTTTTATACTGCATTGTATTTTTTTCCTTTTGTAACAAAATATTTTGAAATAATAAATGGGGTGTGTGCTGTTGTATGGATTCTGCATTGCATAGATTTGTTGAGGTGTCGGGCGTGGGTGCGGGCTTCTGTAGAAGCTGTGGAATGGCAGCGAACCCCGAGTTCCTAGCAGGAATTGTGTGCTGGGCAAGGGGTTCTCTGCAGCCAGAGAGGAGGCCCCTGGGGCAGACCTGCAGAGGCACGGAATTCCAGAAGTCCGGCCTTCTCCTTGGCCCCGAAACGGCCTACTTCCAGAGCACTCCCAAGTTATCCTTTATCCTTCCAGACTCCCAGGACTTCTTTCTGAACCCATTCCCACCTTGTAGAGTTTGGTTCCATCTGCCCTGGTGGGAGATCTGAGGGCGGACGCCAGCTTCTCCCGTGGACTGAACCACGGGCATGCAGTGTGGCCTCAGCCTCCTCCACTGGAGGCCCAGAGAATGTGAATGTCTGGGGAGCTGGACTGCCATGGAGATAAGTATAAGCTTAGTAGAAGTGCTGTGGGGTAATCTTGGGTTTCTAGAAAAGATGGCTTTTTAAAGCCAGGTGAGCGGAGTTGGCAGTACGGGGCTGAAGGCCCCCAGGCAGAGATGATGTCTCACAAATGCACTGTTGGCACAACAGGGAGCTCTGGTACTAGTGTGTGTCACTCAAGGTGAGGCTGCTCTCTAAAACAGCCCGAGTGGAGGAACCTGTGGTCCGCGGTCAAGGGTGTTTCCATGATAGGATCCGCAGATAGCATCACGTCTTGCCATCCCAGCAGCTACTGCCCAGAAAGCCAAAGAAAGGAATCTGCAAGTTGTTTAATTTTTTAAAGAAAGGTTGGACAGAGGAAGATTCAATGAAAAGGAGGTGAACCATGGACTGGGTCATAGCTAGCTAGCAGGAAAGGAGTGGAAATAACCTTGAGGAGGAAGAGGGTCATCGTGTGGGCTGGATAGCCTGGAACTAAAGGGGTGGGACGTTCAGACAAGTGTGTGCATTGCGCTCTGATCACTACCTCTTAGCTTCTGTGCTGGTTGAGGTCCTGGTCCTGCACTGTCGCGTCTTCTTGAGGTATAGGTATCTGACAAAAGTGTGGATGAAGACTTGTACATGAGATTACATTTAGTTTCTCCACGTCAACACCAGGGTATGGAAAGGAAAGCTCTGTGGTTTTCCTCTCAGTTCAGATCCTGCTTCTGTTCATGAGCTGAACACCTTGGACCCAGAGACACCACTGCAGACACCGCTGTGCAGCTGTGTGTGACAGCAGAAAAGGCCTCAGGCAGCTGGTGTTGAGTATGGTGCCTCCATGTCCGTGGTCTGTACGGTGGCTTTCCTGTGTTCCAACAAGCACAGCCTCTGGTTTCGTGAACTCAGACTTCCAGTCCTCCACTTTGGCTGCAGTTTCCACTTTACAACATGATCAACTGCACCACAGGTTGCTGGCAACACCTGAAGAACAAATGCATGGAATTTTTTTTTCTTACTGGGGATTGAACTCAGGACCTTGTGCTTGCAAGGCAGGCGGTGGCACCGTTGGACTAAATCCCCAGCCCTCACGTGGACTTTCTGCATAACCCTAAGCAAGAAGCGTGCCTAATATATCCTCACTTTGGACTCATCCTGTAGAGGAAAGTATTTACTGCACCCAGAGGCACCTTGGTCTTGGAACTCTTACCTGGTGCTAGCCAGCAATACACTGCTTTCCTTCTCAGCTCTAGGCCCACAGAAGCGCAGCTTAGGTTTCAGGGGTCTCTACCATCACTTAGAGTGTTAACAGGCACATTTTATAAGCTGCCTCTCCACTTCACGTGAACCTTCCATTCACATTTGTGCAGCTTGAAGGGTGGCCTTTGCCACTGAACCACTGCAGGAGATCGGCTGTGGAGGACAAGTTCCCCTCTGCTCTGATGCTGGTGATTAGTTCATGGTAGCATGAGAAGCAACAGAGAATTGGTGTTCATGGGGTTTTTGACTGGCAGTGTTGAGGAAGTTCCTAGCAGACCAGTCCTGCCCACTGTGGCTTTGGATGGACCCCAGGACATCCGGAGGCAAGGCCACAGGGCGCAGAGCTACAGGAGACGAAAGGGCATCAGAGCTCTGGGCCGTGGAGACCACAGGATGACATGAACCAGACCACACACAAGGCCAGCTCAAGGCTCGTGGGGCAGATCCAGGATTCATCTCTATCAGACAGAGGGGCCTCAGGCTTCCAAAATGGATGCTTTTGCAGGATCCCTGGTGGCCTCTTGGGGCTGAAAAGCGCAGCCACTGCCCAGAGTGGAACATCTTTTCCAAGATGGCTACTGAGAAGGAACTGGCAGTCATCTACAGGCCGCCATCCTCCAGCTGCAGTGTTCCTTTTACTTCAAGTTAAATAGGGCAGGGGTGTAGCTTGGCATTAAAGTGTTTGCCCAGCATGCAGGAGGCCCTGGGTGCTGTCCCCAGGGCTTCTGCCAACTGCACTTGGCCCTGCCCAGAAAGAAGCCACAGCTGTAAGAGCAGCGAGAGACGACACCAACTCGGAGCCCCAGAGCAGACTCGTGGGTGACATGAAGACGGGATCTGAGCTGGGCATGGTGGTGCACATCTGTGATGCCAGCACTCAGGAGGCAGAGGCAGGAGGATCACAAGTTCAAGACCAGCCTGGACTGCACAGTGAGACCCTGTCTTAAAAAAACAAAACCAAAAAGTGCCTCCTGGGATTTGCTCACGCTGCAGCCAGGAAAGCAAATCAGTGGGACCTTCAGTGCTGTCACCAAGCACAGGCTGAGAACATGTTTGGGGGACATTCTGCCCTCTCCAAGGAGATGAGATCTAGGGACAGGTGCTATAAGGAAAAAGCTGCCACCCCCACAACAGAAAATAGATATTTATTGCAAAAGTGATTGCTTCATGATCAGAGTAGAAAAATAACATGTGCTACTACAAAGGCACAGAGGTCAGCCTCCTGGAGGAATGGTGAGGGTGTCCACATCCTCCAGGGGCCACTGCCTGATGCTCTCTGGATACACGCGCAATTCTGAGGCGTGGCACAGCACCTACAGGGCCTCGATGGTCCACACAGATGCTCTGGCTATGATCGAAGAGGAAGACTTGAGGTCCGCCAGGAATTGTCTGATAGTGGTCAGAACAGGGCCAGCTGCCCCTCCCTGTAGTGGAGCAGAGTCTTTCGGTTGATGGTCCTGTTAGAAGACGGTGCTGAAGGAAAGCTGTACGAACTTTCCCAAGCTATCATGACCCACCACTTCTCAGGGCTGGGCTAAAGTGCGAGAGTGTGCATGGCGTCAGCCTGATGGGCTGCAGGCTGAAACTTTTGCACTTCAAATCTTGTCCATACTGATGGAAGAAAGAAAGAAAATGTTAAAGATCAGTGAACAAGAACAGCTGGCCCAAACTGTTCCGGATTCCAAGTCTCTTGGCCCCAAAGAATCTGAAGAATATCTTCCCTAGAAGGAGCAGGAAAGGCAGGCCCCCACCACAGCCTCTATATCCAGGAGTCTAGCCCGCACTCCCCAGATCAACACATCTCCTGCCCATAGCACAGTACCTGGCAAAAGCGGCAAGGGTGAGCACCTCCAGGAGCAGCTCTGAGCCACAGAAGAAAAGCAGGATGCCATTCATGATGGCTTCCAGGCGGAGCACATAGGTCTGCAGCAGCAGGTAATAGGCGGCCATCATGGCAGACGGGAAGGTCAGGGCCACACTGATGCCAAGTGGCATTTTCCGCTGGCACAGGTTTCCCTTTGTACCTGTCAGACAGCCACACAGTCAGCCTCCAAGAGGCCTCTTCCTGACCACAGGAGAAAGCCGAGTGGGATGACTGGTGAGCAGGGAAAATGGACCTGGGAGGGGTGTTGTAAGTGGGGTCCCACTGAAGTGTAAGCTTGGAGGAGTCATGGGATCGGGGTCATTTGCTCCATGGGGCCTGCTCCCAGTCTCCCTCAAAAAATGTAATTATAAAAATAATATACACTCATTGATAACCTTAATGTAATCTTAGAAAATACACAAAGTATTTTTATACACAAAAGCATGTAAAAATGTCTGTCCCCAGGTCCTCTCTAGTAGTAGATGCTGTAAATCTGTTATTACTGCCAATCTAATGGGTGAAAAAAATGCCACCTTGTTGTTTTAGCTTACTTTTTATTGCTAAGTTAGGGCATCTTATCTAGTCTATTGGCCCTTCACTCTTAGGTGAACAGTCTATTTGTATCTCTCACCAGTTTTTAAAATTGTTTTTTCCTTAGGTGATTTGTGTGAATCTTCATCTTTTTTTGTATATGTTGCAAGTTTGTACTGTTTGTACTTTGACACTACTTTCAAGGGTGCAATATTCTAACTGAAAAGGCTTTAGCTGTGTGTCTCCTGGGCTAGAGAGATCCTTATTCAGAGAAGCAGTGGGATCTCCATGCTGAGCAGGCATGTTCTGCCCGGACAGACACCACTGAAACTCCCCGCAGCTGACCAGTGAGAGGAACCAGGCTCTCCTGGGGTGATGAGGCCTGGAAGAGGAATTCTCTAAGAGCCGTTGCTCTACAGAGCAACACTGACCCACAATATGAAGAGCAGCCTGAAGCTTCAGCTGCGAGTCATTTATATACACTGCCTGGTCTGTTCGCTCACTGTTGAGCCTAGTTGTGCACTGTGTCTTGTTACTCAAGTTACAGACCAGCTTGTCTCATGGGGAATGGAAATGCTCTTAGACGACACTCACCAAAGAACAGTCGGATTACTTCAATTCCAAGATAAAGCAAGAGCATCACCACATCCAGTACCAGGTTGGCCACTGGGTAGGGCAGCGAGAGACCTAGCAAGACAAAGGGTGAGTCTGCAGACAACATGACAGTGCCCTCCAGCACTGCACACAGGGATGGTGAGGGCGTGAGCCTCAGCATTCTGTGTTGTAGGCAGTGTGACTGTTCCGGGGAGCCTGTGGGGACTCCGCTACCCCACCAGTCAGGTGTACAGTGGTGCAGAGCCCACTGAGTGGCTTCTAAGGATCACCAGTGGGTAAAGGAGTTCAGCACAGAAACGATGGGAGGAGCCAGGACGCAGAAGTCTACAGTTCTCAAGCTCAAGCAAGTCTTTCTGAGGGACCTTCCTACTGAATCATTCTCGATGCAGCCATCAGATGGAGACTCCTGCCTCGCAGGGAAGAGGAAGTACAGAAAAGATAGAGAACAAAAAGGTTCTCGGTTGGGTTGGCTTTGGGCTGAAGTGGGAAAGGGACACTGGGGCAGGGCAGCCTTACCTTTATACAGGAATATGAAAAGTTCCAGCAGGAAATAGGTAGCATAATACCAGCCATTCAGAAAGAACAGGATTTCCAGAGGCGTCGAGGACAAGCGTTTACCTGAAAGGAGCAGAGACCCGGTGGGTGTAGGGCGGTGCAAACTAGGCCATGTGTCTAACCTGGAGAAAAGGAGGTCGCAGCGAGGGGCTGGACCAGGGGATGCTTCTGGTTGCTGATAATGACTTAGCAGGGCCCAGGGGTATGGTGTGAAGGGGCCCCGCCTTCCCTTTTCTTTCCCAGGAATCACTGTCAAACTACTCTTTTCGGCTTCGGCTTCGAGGGACAAAGTCAGGCGCTAACTCGGGGGTCACCCAGCTGAAAGGCACCTCAAAGATCGAACCCGCCAGTCGCCATATAGGCAGGCAAATCGGCTCGGAGACCGACACTGGCTTGTTCCGTGGCCAGCTAACTGGTCACTGAGCCATCTACGACACAGGCTGGGCTGTGGGGGGCCGGGCACAGGGCTTCAGCCCGCACGGCCAGACCTCCAAGCACGGACCCCGGCCGGGCACAAACAGGGAGCGACGTCCCTGACGCCTGAAAATGGGGCTTTCGGTCGAGGTCTGGGCTAGAAGGGAATGGAGGGGCTGGCGGTGGCCAAGGGACGGGGACCAGCGACTCACACACCTCCGGAACCTCACCTCGCGGCGCCATCTTCAGTCCCCATGGAAACTGCGTAGGTGGCCTCAGCCGCTCCCGGAGCAGCGAGGAGCTGCCGGAAGCAGGGACGGAGCGGCCTTTTTGCGCGGAAGGAGGCTCAGCCGAGGACTCGGGTCCGCGGTCCTCTGTCAGTCCGGTGGCGTCGCCCTCCTGACCCCGGGTCCCGGATTCAGGGCGTTGAGCAGGGGCTCTGGCCTTAGCCCCACACTGACTTTTCCAGCAAGCGTCTGAAGAGGAGCAGCGGAAGGGAGACGTGCTGTCGTTCGGAGGGCTGCCGAGGCGGTGGGCCAACGCCTTGTACCCAGAGCTCCTGCGGCTCGGAGCGAAGGAGGCGCGTCGGGCAGAGACGCCGGAGCCGCGCCTGTGCCGGTGAAAAGGCAGCTTGTTGCCACGGAAACCCCAAGAGTCCGCCACCGCCCAG